CTTCAGTCTGGGAGCGTAAACGCCTTCTTTTTCCTCACCATATCGATTTCGATGACGTTCACGTTGGCATCGGCTTTGATGGTGAGGCGGCATGGGCGCGGCGAGGATTTAGTTTTGAAGGTTGCGGTAGAAATGGGAGAAAAGGAAAAGTCTGGTTTGGGGGTGAAAAGGAGCAGATCTGGGATGAAGGGAATTTAAGGAGTTGCAAAGAGGATTTTCTCTTATTTTTAAGTTTCGAGTTCGACGAGTGTGTGTTTGCTGAAGATAATTGGATAATCAAAGCCGAAAGTTGTAAATATCAACAACTGGTGATTTTTAACTATCGGGCCATTTGCAGATCCATCAGAGATGCTAGTTTAGGATCCAATTGATATCAGGCCTGTTTATTCGGTCCATCCAATTCTTTTATTTAGGCTCCTCTAATACTACGTGAAAACTATAATTAAAATTGGGTTTAAGAATAAGGAAAAATGTTCTTAGCACAAATCAAATTATATCAGTAGTTAAGAGATTATTATTATTTTTTAAACTCTCGATTTCGAGTATGATATCTGTCGGGATATACGAGTAGTCATTATTAAATGATTGAGCATCTTTTAAATATATATTATTTTATATTCAATACATATTAATAAAAACAATAAAAAAAACACAACATAATATATAGATAAAGGATAAAATATTAAAATATTATCAAATAAGTTAACATTAACTGTTAATTGAATTGTTGCATATATATATATATATATATATATATATATATATATATATATATATATATATATATTCCTCATTATTTGTATTCTTTTAATTTGATCTAATTAGAGTAAAATTGTGAAACCAAAATGGACACCGACTCGAATTAAGATGCATGAGTAAGCTTTGAGAGCTCCAACCGACAATGTGTTTTATTAAAGTTTAGAGTAATTGTACCATATGTCCTTAAATTATGATTCTTATTTCAAATTAGACCTTCAATTTTTTAATATTCTAATTTCATTCTCAAAATATGATTTCATTTTAAATTAGACCCTAAACTTTTGAACAGACCTAATTCATCAAGAAACTATAACCCTCATTCTATATTGATCCTCAAACTTTTAAATATTCTAATTTAAACTTTGAAGTTTTGAATGATATATATGGGGATATTATTAGAATGTTGAAAATTTGGGGACTAATTTAGAATAAGGGTCATAGTTTGAGGATGATATTGGAATGCTCAAAAGTCTGGAGACCAATTTAGAATGGGAGTTATAATTTAGGGATGAAATTAAAATATATAAAGTTTAAGGATCAGTTTAAAATAAGAGTCATAGTTTGGAGATATATATTCGAATTATCTCTAAAGTTTATCTTATTAGTGAAAATAAAAGAAAAAATGACATTAAGGAGAGTAAACCTACAATAACAAAAATAAAGGATTGCTTAACGATTTAGTCAAATTTAGTAGATGATTAACCATTTACAACATATTCTATAACATTTTTTTTACCTTATGAAATGAATTATAATACAAAATTTATTCAAAATCTCTTTTAACTATTGATAATGCATATATATTTTACACCTACATGTATTAAAATCCAGAACTTTAAGAGAAAATAATACCATCTTTAACCACTAAGATCACTTGATGGGATCATATTCTATGTAACTTAAACTGTAGTTAATAAAAATTAATATAATCATATATAATTTTACAGTTTTATAATTTTATTTCAATAATGTATAATAAATTATTAATATAATTTAAAATATTATTTATTTTCATAAAAATATTATTTAATAAATAAAATATATTCATCAAGAATTTTTAATAACTTTTAAAATAAAAATATTATATTATTAAAAATTATTAATGAATATATTCGAGATTGTAAGTCGGATTTAAAATGTTATATATCCCTTGAATTATGTCAATTATCTTTGAAATTATGACATAGACTTTTCTGTAAACTATTACCAAACATGATCATTGTTAAATAGATGATCACTTCTACATTTTATCATGTCACAAGAGCTGAACGATGAAGGATAAGCAACCAGAAACTTTCGTGGGGCTTCTGTAGTTGAGTTATTGGTTTTAATATTGTCACCCACCCTAGTTTCCTTAGTGCTTTGCTAGTGCTACCCCATAAAATACTTAATGAAAATTATATTTTTTTCACATATCAAAATTGGATTACCACAAATGGGTTTCCATTAATATGGTGGCCTCCCACTACCTACCATATGAAACCTTAATTGACTGCCAATTTATAACATGGATTGATGGAAGCCATAAAATCAAAGTCATCGGGAGCTGTTTACATATATGGAATCATTGCTTTTGAATAGAACACCAAGATATCTAATTCCTCAAATCTTTTATTGGTTAAATAAAATATTATTCTTTTTATTAAATTTTAAATTTAATTGTTCAAACTAATTAATGATAATATTAATGATTTTTGTTAAATTTATCTGACGTGATAATTGTGGGCAAAATCATGATTTTTTTTTTTGGTTAGAAAGATAGGATTGCCAAAGCAGTGGAGATGCCAACTCCTCACTCGGTCATGTCCATTGTAAGAAGGCTTCTTACCCCATCAGGTGGAGTCGCTAAGATGCAAAGACCAGTGTGGTTATTTCTTTCTATGTGAGCCAGCACATCAATAACACCATTGATTTCCCGAGGGATATGGGAAATTCGCACTCTCCATTGACGTTGGATCATCATCAACAAAATCGGGAATTTTGAGTTGCACGAAGTAGATTTATGAAATTTAAACTTGGAATACATGTACCGATTATAACTGGAACATGTGGATTAATTTTCCATCTAATATTCACCGAAAGGACAAAATGGGCAGACATGGAAGGAAAATCCTCCGAATCAGAGGTGAAACTAGGACCTCGTTGATTTTTAGCTTCTTACAGTGATACAATTGTGCATAGGTCCTTCTAATAGTGTACGTTGGGGAGTTGAATAATGGACTGCAGTCTGCTGTTTAGGATGGCTGTTAACTAGAGAGAGAGTACAAAAAACGTATGAACTTGTATTATCAGAAGTTTGAGAAATACACAAAAATGGTAGCTATTTAAAGAGTCATAGAAGAGCTACCCTAATTACCATTGAGCTGTTGCAACAACATAACTAACTCGGAGTACACGTGTCAAATACATTCATGTGATAATAAATGCCTAAACAACTATACTCTAACATTCACCCCGTTTCTTACATAACTTCTCTTAATTAAAAAACGCACAGTTTGCTTCTAAACAACTCAAATTTGCTTAGAGCAAGTGGTTTTGTTAACACATCTGCAACCTGACTGTCGGTTGGTACATAGTCGACTTGTACTTCATGTGGTTAATGCAAATTCTCTTTAAAATGCAAACACTTTCCCTACATATACGCAAACCTGAATGCCTGAACCTCCCAAGCCTTTCTGTTGCTTCTTACAGGATAAAAAACTGGAAAATCAGGCTTTTAACTTGCAGGAAAAGTTACACATTGTTTTAAAATCATACTTAACATACATTTTATTGTCTTACTACCATTAAAAAATTAATGGCGAAGATGATGTGAAATTTTAAAATTAATTTTTTACTTTTCACTTAATTATTGTTTTATTACTTTTTGTACAAGATGAAAAAGGTTAAAATTTAATATGTAGCCTTTTATAAGGGAATCATGCCTGTTTTGTGTGAGTAGTTCAATGTTTAATAAATTTTTTTGATGTTTTCTATTTAAAATTTAATGTATTTATTAGATAGTTGATTAAATATAATATAAAAAAGAATAAATTACACCAATCATCATTGAACTTTAGTTTATCTCATATTTCACTCATTGTACTTTAAATCTCATTGAACCTAATACATTTAATTTTTTGGTCACTCCGTTGTTTTCTCACTAACGACGTTATAAATTGGTTGTTATATAGATGCAAAACGACGTTGTTTTGATAAAAATTTCATTTTTTTTGGAACGAAATCGTTTTAATGACATTAACTATTTAATGATCGAGTGACAAAAAAACCAAATGTATAAAGTTCAGTGAGAAAATTGAACGGATTTAAAGTACAGTGAGTAAAATAAGAGAGAGTGTAAAGTTCAGTGATGATTGATGTAATTTACCCTATAAAAGAATTTACAAGCAAATTTATTTAGTTTTGTTTGTTCTTACAATTCAATATTTCCGTACTTATTATTAAATGCCTAATTTTTATTTTCATCCCATGTCACTAAAATATCATAAATTGGCCTGATAACGGTTAGATGAAGTGATATAGATGATATGAAGTTTTAAAGATTTTAAAAAACTAGAAAGAACTTGATATATGAAGAACTATCAACGGATCGGAAAAAAAAATTAAAGAAGGTGTAACAGTTTCAAAATAGAACATCATGTTATATGAATTTTTTAATACAAGTATATTATATTTTTAGATTCATGGTTATGCCTGGCAAAGGAAAGCAATGGGTAAAAACTTGGATATTTACCAAAGCAGCAACTAGGTGTAAGCTATTTCCTTGGCCAATTTGATTTGAAACAGTTGGCGTGGATAAAGTCGTTTGAACCAGTTATTGCCTACGAACATCTCAAGTAAGTCAACGTTTAAAACCCAGAATCGACAAACAAAACTGAATTAGTATGTTGACAACGTGGCCATTGACTTTCCCCCTCCTTCGGAATGAGTTCCAAGTCAACTCTAGAGGAAGTTATCAAGCAATTCTCCTCTTTATTCTGTCGTTAGATCCACCATCTTCAAAATTTTAGCCATTGACTTCATCTACTCTGCACATGGATCTGGAATATATCCTTCAATGACTTCATTTATGAACAGAACCAATCGAGTTTAAAACTCCCAGAATGTAGCTTTAGTCAACCCGTATATGGCTATTTTAAACTGGTTTCCACCTTGCTTTGCTTTGTGGGTTAAGTGATAAAATTTAACAAGTTGATGGTTTTCTCCCATTAACAAGTCAAAGCACCCCTTGATTGATACAGCAAAGAGCAAGACTAAATCAATCGTCAACCCTTACCAAGGGAGAATATGTGTCCTCCATCCCTATAAATGCTAGCCGTACCAGTTTCTGTATTTTCGTAGTAAGAACATCATTTTCATCAGTAATATTCAAGCTAAAGTTGCTATATACTTGCATTCATGTCGATCCAAGGTCTGCCTATCGATGTTACAGGTACGATATATATATATCTACACACACATATATGATGCACCTTACAGGTACCACTGGCTGAGATTTATTTGTTTTGCAGTTGTTGGATGTTACAACTTGGAGGACAAGGAATGGATATCAACACAAGATCCTTATGTTTGCATTGAATACGGAAGTACCAAGTACAGTACCAGAACCTGCACAGGCATCTCTCAGTCTATATAAAATCGATTTTGATATTTATATTTTGAAATTCAAAGTAGATCCCCTAAACTAACAGATCTCTTTCAAACAAATTTTGTTTAGATGGAGGGAAGAATCCTACCTTCCAGGAGAAATTCGTGTTTACGCTCATCGAAGGCCTCAGGGAATTGAATGTAGCTGTTTGGAACAGCAACACTATCACTTCCGATGATCTTATCGGCAGTGGACGGTGAATGATCTCATTCTGCACTCAAAAAAAGGAAAAAAAACCAACTTCAACTCACTGTATAACAGAGTTGTTCCTGTTAATGTTGCAGGGTTCAACTCCACAAAGTCCTCTCCCAAGGCTATGACGATTGTACCTGGTCACTTCAAGGCAAATATGGCAGGTTAGCAAAATACAAGCCTGTATAATCTTTAATACATTTTACTGCCTCTCTGATAGATTTATTTGGGCACAGGCACTCGGGAGAAGTAAGACTCATATTACACTACTCTAACGCCAAAGCCACTGTAAGTTAATTAATACATTTGTATATATGTATAATGAATACATACATATCTGACCATTGACAATATACCATGGTTTCCAATTTTAGGCACACACACAACCACAAAAGTGCAAGACAAAATCAATTTCAGAACATGCACCGTCTGCCCCCTTCAGCCAGGTTTCACCATACGGTTACCCACCGGCAGCGCCGCCGAATCCTTACCCGACAATGCCGTATGCAGCTCCGACTGAATACAAGTCATCATATCCTACTGCCACAGCGCCGTATCCGCCTACTCCGATCGGTGGTTATCCTCCACAGTTCCCTGCCGTAGCTTATCCTCCACAAGCCCCTCTGACTGGTTATCCACAACAAACATACCCACCTCACCCTCAGGCCTCAACTATTTATCCACCAGGTACGTTTTTACCATGTAATAGTAACTATATCATTTTTCTTCCATTATTATTATTATAGTTTGTGATAATCAATGCTAACGCTTTTATTTTGCAGCAGTTATTTTACTAACACTTGATCTGAACTTCTGGTTATCGCTGCAGCTCCAGGCGGAATTTATCCTCCTCCACCGCCGCCCTATTGAGCTCCTTCAATCACATCGATAGAAGCATCAAGAATTCCTGGTCTGAACCACAATGGTTCTGCGGTTATTATGATCCATGAAGAAAATATCGTTGTATTGGATGAATATATTTTCCTGTTTTGATCTGTTTCAAGCATCATTATGTTTCTCTTGATGAATTGGTTTCTTGCATTCTACTGTCTTCCTGCAGTTCTATATAATAAAAGAGCGCCCTTTTCACGTTGGTGGTATTGGTATTAATGTACTACATTATTTATAAAAGGGTAAATTACGCATTTAGTATATAAATTATTAGTTTTATTCCGTTTAGTATTTAAATTTTTAATTTTTTAAAAAATCATATTTAACATTTTTTTTGTTTCGTTTTAGTACCCCGCCGTTAAAAAACTTAACGGATTATTTGCATGTGGCACCTTTCTATGGGTAAATTGCATATCACTCAACTATCTTCTCACTCCTATTTTGATCACTAAAGTTTACATTTTTTTAATTTAATTAGTTAACTTTCAAATTACTCCTAATTTAATCACTCTAACTTTCAATTTTTTTATTTTTAATTATATATTAATAAAATAATAATAAAAATGTCATGTCATAAAAATTATTAATAAAATAAATTAGAGTGATTACAATAAAAGCAATTTGAAAATTGAGTAGTTAAATTAAAATTTTTAAAACTGTGGTACCAAAATAGTAGTGAAAAGATAGTTGAGTGATGAATGATATAATTTACTAAAAAAAGATAGTGTGGTTAGGTTTTTAATGACGAGGTATTAAAATGAAACAAAACCTAAACATTAAATATGGTTTAAAAATTGAAAGTTTAAATATTAAAACGAGCTAAAATTGATAATTTAAATATTAAATATGTAATTTTCCCTTTATAAAAACTAATTGTCATGTTATGACATAAAAGGTTTCATCTCTATTAAAAAAATTAAAAAATACATAACATTTTAGTAACTTCTCTTGAAAACTTTTAATATAATGTTGAAAACATTTTTTCATGTTTTGATATAACAAATAAAATATAAATGAATTTTAAGATTTTATATCCGATTTTCAAAAATTAGATTAAATTATTCGAATATCAAAAATATTACTTCAAGATTTTCAAATGTCAATTTTAATCCTTACTAAAGTGTAAAATTATATTTTAGTCTTAAAATATTTTTGAAACAATTTTTACAAAGTATTTCGAACCTTACTCGAGCCAAAAATAATTTTTATTAAGGGATGTACCGATACACTCTTGGATGTATCAATACACACCAAACATCGAATGCATTTTGTGTATCGATACACAACTAATGCATCGACACACTCCTGGCTCAGAGAAACATCGAATGTAATTAGTGTACCGATACACCTCAAGTGTATCGATACACTAGGTCAATCAACTGTCGAAATATTTGAATTTTACACGCAGTGTACCGATACACCCTTGAGAGTGTACCGATACACCTACGCTCCCAACAAATTTTTAAATGATAATTACACCATAACGACTCTATTGACTTCACCAATGATCCCCAACATTCAGAATCAATTGAAGGTGTATTTAAACAAGTTAAGGAGCCATTGATCAACAACAATTGTGAGAGACACAAAAAGAAAGCCTTAAACATCAAGTTTGAGCAATTCAATCCAATTTTCATTCAATATTCATTTTTGCTTTCAAGAACACTACTTGTACTCAATTGTATTATTCTTTAGTGTTATTTCTTTGTTCTAGAATTGTTCAAACATCTTGCCTAGTGAGGTTTTTCTGTAAGTTTGCGAAATTTGTATTCTTCTCTTTGGGAGAGAGTGTTCTCAAGAATTTGTTCTATAATTCTTGAGAGAGTTGTAAGGTTACTTTTTGTCCTCAAAAGAAAGAACAAATTAGTGAATTTGTTGGAAAATCCTTAGTGTGGATAGCTAAGGTAGTGGACGTAGACTTTGGTTGAGAAAGTTGAATCACTCTAAATCGCTGTGTAAATATTTTCTATTTTCTGTAAAAGTTTCCACCAAAATTTTAATTGTTAGTTCACCCCCTCTTGGTTATTTCGTCGATCGATTAACTCAATATATAATTTTAATAATATTTTTCCTAAGAGCTCATAATTTTAATAATCTTTTGAGGAGCCGCTTTTTTTATTTTAAATAAACATTTTCTTGAAAAATACATTTAATCTAATTTTATTAACCATTAGGCGGATTTGAATCTTGGATATATTTTACTGAATATAATATTATCCAATTTCTTTATTATTTGCATTAAAATGTGGACTGAGTGCATTAAACTCACTTTTATTCATTTCTATATTATTTTATCCCTCTATTATTTTAAACAAATAAATTTATGATCTTTCTAGATAGAGACGCATTACATTAAAATATCAAGATTTAAATATTCATAAAAATAGGATAATATGAACATCCTTGATTATTTGACAAATTAATATATATCATAAATGTATTTTTTTTATGTGTGATTAATTTTTTCTCTTTAAAACTTAGAGATTATACTTATATTTGAGTTTTTAAATATACTTTTGGTTATCTGAATGGGACAATGGTTTTATTGATTTCTTTATGTGTATTATGATTTGATCAAAGCCCAATCGCAAAATCTAAAGATGTCTTCATGTTGCTGCCTTTTTATTGATTGCTTGATGGTATACGTGTGTTATGATTGGATCAAGGCCCAATCACCAAAATCTAAAGATATCTTCATGTTGTACCCATAGCTTTATGGTATATGTATGTTATGATTGGATCAAGGCCTAAACACAAAATCTAAAGATGTCTTCATGTTGTACCATTTTCACAAATTACTAGTTATACTCGTTATATATAAACTAATGCATTCAAATGATCCCTCAACTATGAGATGTGGTATTGTTGAATCATCTGATTATTAAATGTTATAAAATGATCTTTCGATTGTAGAGTATTGTTTTGTTAAGTTCTCATACTATTAGAAGTTACAAAATGGTTATTCGACTATTCATATGTTCCAAACTTGTCTTTTTTCGTTAAAAATTGGTAATCGTCTGAGCTAGACGTTAACCTACTGACTGAGATATGATAAAATCATATCCTAATACCACCATTTGATTTGTATTTTGGATCAAGTCTTCATTTATATTATGCCATTGAGTAAGTGATTGGAATATTATATCATCGAGCTAATGCTTAAAAGCAACGATAGTGTCAATAAATATCATTAAAATATAATTTTATCATATCTCAGTCAACAAACTAACATTTAGCTTACACAACAACCAATTTTTTTTTAAAAAAATCCGAGTTTGAAACATATGGAAAGTCAAGTAACCATTTTATAACTTTTATTAGTCGAGAGACTTAACAAAGCAATGCTTTTTAATCAATGAGTCATTATGTAATTTTTAATAGTCATGAGAATTAATAAAATAATACTCTATAGTGGAAATATAAATTGTATATTTTACCCTTATATATATTAAAAAATAATTTAAAGAATGTATTTTAGATTATTTCAATGATAAATGTAATATTCAAATTTCAGTCATAAGGTACGAGCTAGGTTTATGAGGTTATATGTTTGGCCAAAATTCACGTGTAAAATTCAAGGGGTCTTTAATCTAGGTTGTAACGTGGCTAAGGTACGAGTTGGAAAGTTTTTAAAAATGCCAAAATAAGAGATCAAAATAACTAGGAATAATTCATGAATTAACATGAAGCACAATGAAAATTAAAACAAGGAAAAAGAATAGATGAAAGACAATTCAAACAATCAAAAGTGTCTATTTTTTTATTTTCTATTTTTTATTTGCTGTTCGAAACAATGAGCACTATACATTTTTTTACGAAATTGTTTTTTTCATTTCCTTTCTTTTTTTTCGTGGAACAAGAATGATACAAGATCTCAAGTTTCGGCAAAGGTGTAAAAAAGAGAGGGAAAAATAAAAATAAAGGCTTCGGGTTTAATTTGGAAAGTTGAAAATCAAACAAAGGGAAATATGCTCAAATGTGGTTCACTAGTGGATATATAAATGATTAGGTTTTTTTAGGAAAAAGTGGGTTTAATCCTAAGTGTCTCTATCACATTAAAACATTATGTCCAACATGTAGTCTCGATATGCATTGTGATTACAAGATCTAGAATATCATAACTAGTCTGGTACACTCAAGTCAAACAATGAACAAGAAAGAAAATGTATGCTCATCAGGCTTGAATCTCACAAGAAAAGGCTTATATGTACTGAGTCAAGTTCATCTCCATCAACAAATGCATGAAATATCAATACTTAGCAGAAAATCACCAGCTATACTAATCACCATCATGCGAATTAAATTCAATCAAAACATGGTCACAATCCAAAAAGAAGCAAGAGTATAAAGTAAATTTCAAGAATAGAAACTAAAGATTCCGACACAACAATATCATAACAACTTAATTCCAAACAATCAAATAAGCAAGCAAAGAATTTGATAGCTTCTACCCCTCCACTTAAACCATATTGTCCCAATATGAATATTAAAACACAAGAGAGGGAACATAATTACTCCCCTGATTTAATGGTGACAGCGGCCACGACCACGACGAGATAAACTATTGAAGAGTAGATTGTCCGATCGAGAAGCCACCAGAAGATATATTAAAATTTTACTGCACTGTTATGTTCGAACTTTTCTGCACTGTTTGAACCAAAACTATTTTTTTGCACTATTTTTTTGTACTGCATTGTTCGAATTTGCTGTGTATTTTTCGGTACTGTTCGAACCAAATCAATTTTTTCTGCACTGTCCGAACAGTGTATTTCGAAATTCTTCTTCCCTTTTTTCGAATGATTCTTCATTTTTTTTCTGCCTCACGATCTCTTCACGCCTTGGGGTCTGGTTTTTTTTTCTTCCATTTTTTCGCTTTCAGTTTGAAGAATTATTGATTGTATCTTGCTTAAAATTCAAGTAGGAATAACGGGGTACCTAAAAAATCAAAGAAAAATAAAAACAAAAATAAATCAGAAAAATAAAATTTAAAATAAAAGTAGAAATTGAACAAATGGAAAATAAAAATAATAATGGGTTGCCTCTTATAAAGTGCTATTTTTAACGTCGTTAGCTCGATGGCCTGATTCAGACTATAGGTTTCGATAGAAATACTTCCTCCACTTCATACGCTTTTTCCAACTAATAACTTCCTTATGAGAAATTCTACAACCGTATAATTCTTTTAT